CCCCAAAACCCCAAAACCCCATAGATTTGAATATTCAAAATTAATAGAAATAGTCAGAATTTAATTAATTCTTTGAGTCTGACTGACTATTTAAACTACAGCTTTTAACTAATTATAATTAATTATTAATAAATTTCTAGGGGTGACTGATCACAATACTTATTCTGGAGTTAATAACTTAACTTAAATAAAACGAACAATTCATCACAACCAAGGAGCACATCTATATTTAGATTAAGAAAAGCATGATTTATCCAGAATAATGAAGATTCTTTATCTATAAGAACAAACGAATTTATTAATTAAAAGGGAGCTATCAAGATGAAGATTTTGCAGGTGAATTTTAAAAAGGCTATAACACTTGAATTAAAAATTACAAAATTAATAACTTAAGAAAAAGAAAATATTACGTATGAATACTGGAGAATATTTTTAATATATCACTAAGGCTAATTAATTTTCAATCTAAAGAAACAAGGATAGATCTATGAAATCTCATTAATCAGCTAACTTTCAAAAGTATTAAGATTGAGACTGAGGAAATGTTCCTAATTGATATGAAGTCATTTATACCACTCTTTTAACTATAATAACTATAGTGAAAAAACAGATATTCTTAAACTTTCCTGATTTTACTTAAACATGGGGGTACAACATCAACCTCACAAAATATATCATAAAAGACAAGTACTTCTGAATTTATAAAAAAATTATGAAAGTTTTCCGATATTATCCAACTTAAAACATTAGAATCTTGAAAAGAAACATAAAGGTTATTATTACAGCTAATACAATGCTTATGCTATTAATTAACAGTCTTTTAAGCGAATGAGCAAGATTAAAATCTGAATTATGGGAAATTGAAACTTTCTTTAAGTCTGGGTGGGTTAATATAAAACAAAGTTGCTGCGAAAAAAATGAACAATCAAAAGATATTATGTATTAAGAGAAGAAGAAGTGGGAAAATCTCCTCTCAGATGATTGCAATTAATTGTCAGAGTCTATGCATGCTATTAATCCCTATGCAGTATACTAAACATAAAAATATCTACTAAATCTCGAAACTCCAAAGAGAAATTAACTATTAAGACTTGATTTTTGCAGCTTGCAATGCGCCTATTTTAATTATCAATAGGTTTATCCCCGCTATTCTTCCATTTATTGCAATGAATAAAGCTAAAAATTGATGAGGGGTTAGAAGATGCATGCTAAATAGAAAAATTCCGATAGTCAAGGCTAATGCCAAGGTTAGTTAAATCAAATCATAAGTCGAAATACTGAAAGAACATTGTCTGAAATGTGAGTGCAAGCATCTCAATGGCTATGTTTAGAGCTATCTAATCACAAAATATCTTATATTCCTCGAGAAATTTAAAGTTTACTATTGAAGAACAAACGTGATAGCTCTGAGGTAATTGTAGAAAAACAGAGCGAGTATACAATCCTATAGGAGGAAAAGGTACAATATGCAATCTATGATTTAACGAATTTATTGGTTTTACGGATATATTTCTACAAAAATAACATTAAAATTGATAACTTAGAGGTGACATGAATATTTTAACAAGAGAGGCAAGCATTCTTTAGCCGTAACATATGGAATCAATAGTAAATCTGAATTTAGAGTTTGAATAATTTGAAAGTAATCTTACCTCAAAGAAAATATCTTTCTTGCTTTTAAGTTCTATTGATATAAATACTGGTTAAATTAATTATTAATCTTAAATAAATAATTCTCATGCCCTTCAATCTTCTAACTCAAAAGTTATATGGGGTTTTGGGGTTTTGGGG